GCTGACTCCCCACCTTCCTGCTGCCCGCCACTAACTCCGCGGCACCCGCGGTCGCGCCTTCCTGTCCGTGCTGGCTCAGCCCTCGCTCCACCGTCTGCCCCGCTCCGCCCCTCTCCGCCCGCCTCACCCCGCTCCACCCGTCTCCACCCGCTCCGCCCCGCTCTCTTCTCCCCGCTCTCTTCTCCCCGCTCTCTCCACCCAGACCTCTCCTCTCCGCTCTTTCCTCCCCGCTCTCTCCTCCCCGCTCTCTCCACCCCGCCCCACCGTTGCCAATGCGGCTGCTTCTCTTCGCGCGGATTAATTTCCACGCGCTCCCGACGCGCGCTCTGGAGGGGAAAGCGCCGCGCACAAAAGATGGCGGGAAGCGCTAATTGAAGGCGATTTGGGAACAGATGTGGGGAGACGGAGGGAGCAGTATGTCGAAGCCAGCGTTTGTTGGATAATAAGGATCCCTGCTTCAATAGGGTTCTCTATAAGTGTACTCAGGAAAGATTTACTTTCTGTTCCAATTCCCGGCATCGTGTGCCTACGTGGGGTATTGGAGTGGAAAATATCTGCACGAGTTCCGCCATACATTGAAAGCTTTGAAAATTGATTTAGACTTTTGGAGAAGCTAGTAAATGAACGTATTAAACAAGAAAGGGAAGTTCAAGTGTACTTCAGAGAGTCTGCATATTGAAATATTGTTTTTCCATGTAGGTTCAGGATTTAATTACCTAATAAATTAATTGGACATGATTACTTGATAAGCATAGAGCATTGCATTTGGTATCACTAAAGATTCATAAGAATATCGAGGGAAAAAAATATTTCATCGTGACTTTTAATGATTAATTATGAAAATAGGATTTTAGTGTAGCGCATTACTCGAGTTGCTTGTAAGAAATTTTACACAGAAATGTGACACAGAAGTAAATCGTAATTGTGAGACAAGTAACGTAAACGAATGTATGCATGAAAGAAACATGGTTCGTAGATGTTAGATTGAAACAGTTTTAATTCAGCTTTTTTTAAACGCAATAATTTATATTATTCATTACTTCAAGAATTTACTTCACCCCAAGCGCAAGCGTTTGCATTCCTTACTTGATAAATCACGGAAAACTACTGAGAATATGCGCTCGTTAGATTTCTTCTTCGGACAACAGCTGAATCCGACGTTCTACTGAACGTTCCACCTAAAAAGTATTATTCACTTTTTTTTTCATTAATAGTCTGAATTAAGTAACTTTTGCCGAAAGGGCATTAAAAGCGTAGAGCTATTTACGTTTCATATTCGCTGGCTTTGTGCTGTCGATTGACTTGCGAAGTGTTTGGAATCACAAAGATTATTATTAAAATTTTTTCCATGCTCTTTGGCATGATTCGTATTAAATATTACAATATTTTATTTAGTGATATATCAAAACAACAAAATACTACGTAATAATTATGTATAACCTTCAACTACACTCCAACTGACATTTACGATAGGCAATATTTACGATAGATATATTATGATAGGCTACATTTAAGATAGACAAGTTGGATAACTGAAAGACTTGACACACGTTTCTCTACGTATTTCGACGCGCTGAATCCGTGTCTAAAGACAGAATTGAGCCTCATTTTTGTAATAGCCAAAAAAACTATGATTTTTTTTATTTTACATTTCCTATGTTGTTGTTTTTTTCAATAAAAAAAAGCTGGAAAATTGTGACGCAATTCTGGGTTCGAATATGATTTCAGCGCAACAACATAGGTAGAGAAACATGTGTGCAGTTTTTGGGTCTGATAGAAGAAAATATTTCTGAATAAAACATTTAAATAGAACCATCTATACGTTTCTAATCAATCCCTCCGTCTCGAAACCATCACGTACATTGTACGGACCGAACAAAGCGAAAAGCGCACAAGTGCCGCGCCGCGTCAGTCTCTGGCGGGCGCCGACGGCAGTCGAGCGAGGGGCCAGGGCCCTATAACTCCCATTCAACGTGGTTGAAACCATTACAGTGGCGCTCTCTAAAACATCACCTCACACGAACTAAAATACCAACTGCTACCAACGTTATTTAAAACGCGCGTGGGTTCTCGGGCCGCAAACACACGCGCTTGATGCAAAAGATCGCGCCGCTGTTCGCGCTACCTTTCCTTTCGTGCGTGTATTATTATTATTATTATTATTATTATTATTATTATTATTATTATTATTGTTGTTGTTGTTGTTGTTATTATTATTATTATTAATAATAATGAATTTTAGAAGATAAACACATAGTATTTAACTTCTTTTGTAATTTATTTCAAAAATCGCTCATAATCAAAGTGTATTCGTATTTCTTGACCAAATTTTATGTGCGAAAGTTGATGCTGTATCCGGCTGCTGGTCCCTGCGAGGGCCCCTCAAAGAGCCTTGAATGTTAGCAGCAACTCGCACCTCCGTCAAGCTGCAACCCCCACTTGTTCGAAATTCAAAATTAATTAGCCTATAATTTTGTACTAATTATGTACTAATTTTCTACCACAATTAAAAATTTTGTACTCAACTATAAACAATTAAAAAACGGGTGCAATTGAAGCACTTTATGCGTTAATTTCTGATTTTTTAAAACTCTTTTTCAGTCAAAATTCAATGTTGAAATTCAGACTTCACTTTGGGACTATGGTTGTGTTTAAGATATAATAATTTAATTTTACTTTTTTGTTATATATAAAAAATTGCAATTTTTCATTTTATTATGAGTGAAATCTCAAATAGATATGCTACGTACCACTGTTATTTAACCTAAAGTATCTGCAATGTCTTATGTTTATGGTTAGCAAAAATTAAGGTTGCAACTTTATTTGTTCTTCAGCAATTACTCTAATATAATGGAAAATTCTCCATTTACTTTCAATACATTTTGCCTCAAATATTTTATGTATAAAAACTTTCAAGATGGACAATTATTCCTTTGATTTATAGGACTGAGGTAACCATATCCGGTGCTGTTTTGTATAAAAATCTACGTCAATTTTAAAGCAAAGTATTAGTATAGCAGAGTATTAATAGCGGGCTATGCTATGATCAGCCCGGCTACGTCCTATGCTAAAGAGAAATTGTAATATTCTGATTGCTATTCAGGAAAAGCGTGTTATTTTTCCTCCAAAAGAGATTTTCCTTTTCCCAGGTTCACAAATGGAATAACAAGTGAAAGCGTGTAGTAATAGTAGGCTTCGTCCTGCAATTCAGTCACTGCAATTATCGGTCGGGCTACTTCCTATAAAGAAAGAAAAATATATAGTGAATACTATTTTTTATAAGCGTGTTCTCGTTTTCAATGATATATTTTCTTTTGACAAGGTACAGAAATGGAATTACAAGCCAAATCGTGTATTAATAGGCGGCTCTTAGCAATGCAGTCGATGCAACGACATGTCGAGCTACTTCCTATGAAGAAGGAAAAATTATGATATTGTGAATACTATTCGTTAAAAATGTGTTTTTGATTGCTTCAAAAGGAATTTCATTTGTCCAGGCACAGAAATAGATTTACAACCCGAAGCATGTAGACGTATGTGTTTGTACTCATGGCGGACGCTGCAATGATAGTTCAGGCCGATTTATGAGCTGAAGGAAAAATATTATATTGTCAATAATATATTGGGAGGGTGTTCCTGATACTCGTTCACCCTTGGTTTGGCCTTGCCCGGTGTGTTTTTGGGTGATCCCTGCTCTGCAAGTGTAGGAGTGACGTTCGGGTACCGGCTTCGCTGCAGTAAGTTTATTTTACTCTGTATTTATAAGATATTTAAAGAAGAAATTAGGAACCGTTTTTGAGAAAATTTTGAATATGTACCAAGGAATTAAAGTACTTCCCAAAATTAACGAAAGTTATTAGATTACATAATATAAAGAAAGTTATATAATGCTGTGGTAGCAATGATTATTTCGGCACAAAAAATCTTATAGAATGTACTTAACATCGGAAAAGTAATTAATTCTTGTTCCTATATGAAGTCTACATCTCAATCACGAAAATAGCTTGCTTATTTTTTCGCTTAAATGCATTGAAGTTCCAATAATAACATTATTATTTTGTATTATAGTTTTAATATTCGGTATTTTATTTATTTATTAATTCAATAAATTTAAACAATAAGTTATATAATTATATTTAGTACACTTTATATTTTATTTACAAAGAGTAACTTCAACCTCTTTTCGATCTCTCTTCCTTTATAAATTCATTGTATTTTACTGAGTGATGAAATTTTATTTCGAACACAATTGAAACAGGTCATAACACATCTTATGATTGAAAATACATTGACTATTCTTATTAGTTTAGAAATATTAGATATTTTCAGTTTTATAATATACCAATTTCCAAATTGACCGTTATTCTCGCAGTTTCGAAGCGTTGATTCTCTCGACCAATCAGGAACTGCGATGGTTTCTGTTCTGTGACCAGCTCGCACCAGTGGTGTGACACTAGATAGGCCACATCCGGTCCTTATTCAAATTTCATACAATAGTCAATCAGAGTTCAGAGCGACGCCATATACATCTGTACAACACCAACTCGCTCAAGCGGAGAATCGGTGAACTACTTTTTCATTTTGAAATTTTTTCGCGAATGAGCCGGTTGGTTACGATTGGATTCCTTCCTCATCGACCTATCCTTGTATATTCACGTGCTGTTCGTAGGGCCGTTAACGCCATATCGCAGTCAGTGAATTAGAGAAATGAAGTGATTTTATGCTGTTTGCAGTCTGAAGCGTGCATTATGGCTTCGAGAAGATGCTGGGTGCTTAACTGTAAAAATGCGAAAGCGAAATTAGCAATTAAAACACGTTTATTTGGGTTCCCAAGAAACGTGAAAAAGTGAGTTACATTTATTTTATCTTTCGTTTTTATGCATGTAGTTTGTTCTAAATCCAGGCTACACTGTAGATGGTAAATTTCTACTTCATTGTAAAATTTATATATAATAATGCTACTAAAAGTCTAGGGTGATAATTCCTTTGTGTTTACAGAAACTAATGCCAGTGAATGGTTCACTACAGCAAGTGTGCCTGGTACATTTGCTGCCAATATCTATGGTAAGTTTTTGCCTTGCAAGTGCATTCAAATAATTCAATTGCAAATTGTGGAATTTTTTTCATATTCATGTTCATTTGCGGATCCCTTGTTTGACAAACTGAGGTGACACCCACTATAGCAATGGGTGTAATTGGTAAGACTTTTTAATAGAATAGTCGTACAATATATAGTTTTAATAGAAAATATAGTGTGATGGGAGTCTCTGTTACCAGCATTTTTTAATTTTCAGATCCTTGTTCACAGGCAGCTTTTCAAACTGAAAAAGGTAAGTCTCTTGTATGTATGTAAAATGCAAAAACAGGCATGCTATTAAAAGCCTAATGTATTGGTAATATTTTGTTGTTGATTAATAGAGACTCTAGTGCTGTTGAACATGCAGTTACAGCAAGTGCAGTAGATGCTTATGCTAGCCCTGGGAAAGGTAAATATTTTCTAAAATCTTTAAGAATCTCAATTATTACTTTGTTGCATTTATTGAAGATGGAATAGATTTCAAGTTTGTCTCCATTTTCAGATCTTTTTGACCCATGTGAGGTGTTACCTCAAGTTTTTATGGATGTTTCTCATGGTATGTTCCTTTCAACATACAGTTATTAGTGCCAATTGAGGGCAAATTATAGTAAATAAAAAACTTTTTTTGGGGTGATTACAGATCCTTGTACTTCTGAACAGGTGCAAGAAGCCATTCTGGGAGATGAATCTGCGAATTCAGTGTGTGGTAAATGCAAGATATTCCTGTGCTTTCTAATTTTGTAATTAATTCAAGATGGTGAATTAAAAGAAACCTTTTTCTTTTTTTATTCAGATTTCTTTTCAGAACATTCATTTGGGGACATAGTATCTTTCTTAACATTTTTTGCTTTCCAGATCCTCTTCCACAGATGGCTTTTGAAGCATTCATATTAGACCCTACGAGTTTGACCCTAAGTGGCTTTAAATTAAGGTTCTCTTTGAGGAGTCAGAACTCAGAGAGATAATTTTAAAAAGTTATTGTTATGTGCAGTGAATGACTTGCTTCATTTTGCACAAAGTTTCTGTACATATCTCTTTTACGCTGACAGTTTGTAATGGTACGAACAACGAGAGTTTTAATATCAGTGTGTATTCTGCCATCTGATACAGATCCATTACATAAATTTTTTTTCACATCTGAATTGAAAAGTTCTAATAAAAATTAAATTTAAAGATAAAATTAATTGTGTTAAGCGTGATCATTTTCTCAATTTTGGAATGCCTCTGGCTATGTTAAGACACTTTATTATTACAAAGGTTTTTGAGTTTCTGTTTCAGAGGCTATTTTCATGCAATTTTAGAATTTCGTTAGTGCTTATTATCTGGTCTGTCATTTTTTCTTATTAGTATTAATTTTTATTATTAGTATTGATATAAGTTGCTTATATATTGTTATACTGTTCTGACAATAATTGTTTCTCATGACAAGCAGAACCTTGATTCAATTTATATTCTACTATGTGTGTATCATTGTGTTTTGTTCATCCTCATGCCAATTACATTCTGGATTTGAATGCTGATCCTTATTAGATTGTGAATTGTTATGAGTCGTGAATGCAATGCTTGAATCCATAGCTCAGTTATTAGGACATCTGCCAAGTTATCAGAAGGTCCCCAGGCGTGGCTCCTGGTGCAATTAAATATTTGCACTTGACAATCCATTTTCAGAATTAAATTGTGGTGCATAAGCATTGATGGAATTCCACTATTTGTAAATCATCGTTTTAAAAGTGAATGTATTTTCACAGTGGATCCCGTTTTAAAAAAACAGGCTCTGAACTGTGCATGTGTGAGATTAGCATGGGTAAATAAAATAATTTTTTTCAAATATTAATTGACTAACCAAAAACATTTTAGGTTGCAACTAGTAAAAGTGGTTCTTTCAAGGCATGCAGAGCATGCTAAAAGCTCAATTTTTTGCACTACTGCTAAAAGTGGGATAATGCTCAAATGTTCTGATAAAACTTTGAAAGCAACAAAGAAAACAAAATACGTTCATGTGACCTAATCAGGTAATACTGATCTTAATGTAACAGTACATAATTAAGTAATTCGTATTCTTGGATTAAAATAAAATGAAAGGCAGTAATACCACTTAAAAAGCATGGTGAAAGTGATTTTATTTTGCTCGTAGAAATGGGGCACCTGACTTATTGGCCTAGTGGTGCTACCTTTCCTATGCGCAAAATAAAATGGCACTTTCACCCCTTGTATCATAACTATTTGTTTTACCTGGGCAAATGAGCGATAGTATTTACATTTGTTTCTATTCAATTCTGTTCATATTGTTCATTCATAATGCTTGTATTAATGTAGTATTCCCTAGTATTGGCATTAATTTGGCATATCTACAAGCAAATACTAAAGTTGCAATTGTGCAGGTGTACTGTTTATTACTTTCTTTAATACAAAATTGTTATTACTAATGAAATTACAAAATTGTATAATATTAAAATGCTCAATAAATACTAGATTTTACTACCCTAATTTGACTTTTTTCTTCCATAAAATCCTTATAATTATTATTGTGAATTTTTTAATAAATTAAGGCGTGGAAAGTATGGGAGTGAAATTTTAAAATTCCCGCGTTGCTGGTTTATTTCAAATTTACCGGATACTTCTTCGCTATTGGCTTTCCGTTTACCCAATAAAAATTACACAGAACAATGTGGCGGCACCGGAAGTGGGGCAAATAAGGCTTTTTCTTTTAATATTGAGTGCCGTCTCTGAAATATACTCCTTGGCCCGCACTGAGTCTATCCAGCGTCGTTCACTTGACGGCGAATCGCAAAGAGTAAACGTGTGCTCCGGAAACATTGTTCAGGTCGTGCGGACGTTATTAGGGGTAGTTCTCAAAAAGAGTGGCAGCTGTGTTTATATTATGTTGAATGTGATTAGTGATTTGTGCGTTTAACTGTGTGTCGATTCGTATTTTGCATTGCAAACGAAATTGTGTGCCTACGTATCATAATGTTAATTAGGCTGGAATGGTGCGCGAAAAGTGTAGAGGAGTGATTCAGGAATGTGATAGTTTACCAATTGTTCGGCGCAAATGAAATCTAGAACGCCCCTCGAAGTGCAGGTTTAGGTAGTGGAGTGACCTAGTGTTCAGTGCCGTGCAGTGCAGTGCAGTGAAGTGAAACGTAAGCTCTAAAGCATTTCGAGAAAATTGCTTGGTGTGTAAAGTGTGTATGCCCGAGATTAATCACGATGTGATCAGAGTGAAATCTTAGTGAAACAGCGCTTGCAAGATATTCACGATTGATGGGAGACGTCCTTCTACTACTTAGCTGCACTGTCACCGTGGCCTTCATCTTCACGACGCCGATCTTCTCAACGTCCCTCGACCCCATGTTCCCGCCAGGGGGTAGGAAATACACTTAAAATGTTGGAAGCGAAGCAATACTAGTTAGATTAGTGTGAATGTAAACTTACAAAATGCCTTTGAGCTTTTCATCCTCACATTTGGAAATCATTTATTACAGGTTTAATGAACAAATCCTATGCATACACAGGTGATATGCTATTCGCAGGCTAGATTTAGTGTAGTATTAATGCAACTTAAATCTGAATTTCGTAGTTGAAGCATTAATTTCATCAAATTTAGAAGGAAAGTTTAAAAGCGTAATAATTTTTAAACAAATTGGATAATATAAATTAGCTCATGTAAATGATAAAAGGACAGTTTATTAGGACACATCAATGCATTATAAAATACATTTGCGTTTTAAGGATTATAGTATAAATTTCTGTAGAAAATACGAACGATTAACAGAATAGTTAGCATAGTGCAGATTAGTTTCCTAAATGCAGATTAGGTTAGCGTAGGACCACTGGCAGAAGAGCATCGCTTCGTCCCGACGCCGATGGAGCCTGGATTCGGTGAGTGATCTGGGCGGAGATTTTTCCCAAGCCTCATCCTAACTCCCTTGATCTCTTCCTTTGTCCTTCAGAGGCCAGGCAGTTTGCATTCCTCCCTCGGCTGCACGACGGATGACGCAGGTTTAGCTACACTCTTTGGGGGCCCCGCCGGAGCTGGTTTAGAGGAAGCAAGGTCACTGAATATGAGGTAGATTGGTCAAATCGAAGAGAAAGAATATGAACCTATTATAAAAACCAGTATTTGCAATGGCGTACGGCTAATTTAAATACAAATTCTCAGTTTTGTTTACGTTAATAAACGATTACAGCCGCTTAAGTGTATTTAGTAAATATAAAGATGGAAGACAAAACGTAGTGCATAATGGTACAATACCAAACTGGTACAGAATCAGATGCCACTCCGTGCTGGTGCCCCCCCCCCCGTTTCGTTCAAATGTAGGTTGGGAGGGTTAATTCTTCCTCGTGCAGCCTGTCTCTCCGCTCAGATAATATTAACAGGGTATTCGTCCGCCTTTAGTTTGATATATTGCTGGGTTACTGCAGTCTTGTTGGCTGAAATGAACTTTAATTGAGTTTATTGAATCAGGATTAATTTAAATGTAAGATTCACAGTATTGTATATCAGCTAGTAATGTTTATAGTAATTATTTAAACTTATAATTTGAATTATTATTAAATTTTCAATTTAATCGTTCATTTCATTTAATTATTCAAAGTAATTCATATAGATCGATTTCTATTTACATTTTGAGATAAGTGATTGAAATGCTAAAATATAAAGAATAATGCTTGAAATAAGAAAATCAGTACCTAGAATAGATTAGGATGGGCAAATATAGGAAGACTGCAGGGCCCGGTTAGCTAGTAAGGCCAGGGCGGTCTGTTTAGCCATACATGGTATCCGCTGCTGGATCCTATTGCACTTGGCTTGCAGTCCGTCATAGAGATTCGGGACAACTTTGACGGGGGTGGGAAACTTCTTGACCTGCGAGATGTCATGTCTCGCGTTCTGCATCGAATTAATGGCAGATGGCCTTCCTCTGGACAGTAGTGTAGGTCGCCGTTCAAGAGGGAGGTCATTCTGTTTCAACTGGCGATTTAGGAGGGACACGCCCACGTGGCTCATAGGGCAGGGTGGGTAGGTTAAGTGCTAGGGAAGTGTTCCAATTCGCTTTTACACGCGAACTCTTGCTTGAAGTAGTTTCCGACTTCACAGTATAGTTTTCTTGTAATAAGAAAAGTTAAATCGGAATGCATAATGAATTGGAATACTCCTTTCTATCTGAAGGAAAACTGAATGTCTGTCCATCGTTCAGTCGTCCTTCAGTGGAAAAAATATTTAGTTGGCGGACAGCACACTTGGGGAACAGGGTGGTAATGTTTTCGAAAGTCTGCAAAACTTTAGTCCTGGTTAATGGAGTAATTACAGATTAAAAAAACTTAAGATTTTCTTTACAGGAACTTAAGTCCACGCGAGGCGTGGCAAAAACGTTTGTCACTTGGGTGACATACTATAAATTGTGAAGCCCATACATGTACGTGGCATAATACATAGTTTAAGGAAATTGCACTTTTCTACAGAAGATCGGACATTTTGAGAAATATACCAAATAAATCAAATGGCTATTATGCAATTCTTGTGTACTTGTTAAATTTTATTTCTGCTTATTTTTCAGGACTTACTTTTTTCTATTTCAGCATTCTTTGATCGGTTAATACAAACTGTTTTTTCAGCATTAGTATAAAATAAATGTAAGGAATTGTAAAATTATTCCATAAATTAAAAATAAGATTAAATTCACCCCAGTCGGTCATTTCCTTAA